GTCCCGGTCCCCATTAATTCGGATAATTGGATTTCTACTGTATTGTAATAAAATCGCATTCAAAAAATGCATAAAAGACATCCAAACTAGTGAGGTGCATGGCATCGCGTCTTAAGGAAAATTGCAGGAACTTTCCGTACCGTAATTAAAAATCTTGGTACGGAACCCCAAAAAATTTACACGAAATGTGTACACATTATTAAAATCTCTATAAAAATATCTGATAATTTGATGTACATATGTCCAAAAAACATTTTTGACCGCCAAATGACATTTTTAACATATTTTTTATTGAGAGTCCATAACGCTGGACCTGCCTTCCCGAAAATTTAATCAGTGGTTCATCTTGTCAATACGAGAAAAATGTTTCTTGAATTATTAAAATCGAACGCTCCGTTCTCTTAAAAAACTGAGTTACCGTTTTCGCACTTTTTGCCCCGTATCTTCGGAACGGCTAGACCTGCCTTCGCCAAAAACTAATCAGCAAGTCTCCGTATCAATACGAATCGAATGTTTTTTGAATTATTCAAATCGGTTGATCGGTGTTCCCGAAATCGTCGACGAAAATTTGTATCCGCACACACATACACGCATACAGCATTTTTTTCTAAGGTATGCCAAAACGTCAAAAACCTTTGAAACGTGAAGATATATAAAATTTTCATTTTCGAGTTTTTTACTTACTTATCTACGAGAAGTTAAAAATAATTCGAAAAATATGGTTAGATTATAGATTCATATTTTCGTTAATTTTTACATTTTATTTAGTTAAGCCTTATATTAATTGTTCAAACTATTAACTATTAGATTTAAAAAAAATACGCATTACGTCAATTTAACGAGATATATATAAAATGGCCATAAACCTAGTGTTAAATGAATATGAATCTTATTTCTAAATGTAATTTGAAATTTAAATAATGATAAATATTGAAATCACAGTATTACTAAAGTATTAATCTAAATAATCCCATTCTGTGGAATAATCATAATCAATAATTATAACCAATCAATATATTTATTCAAAGATTAATATTATTATGCAAAGATATATAGTTATAATGTTTAATTATTATGCTTATTTTATTATGTTCTTAGTTCATCGAAAGCAAACCCTGTAACAATTTTACCTATTTCAAATAGCAAATAGGCTATTTGCTATTTAATTTTAATGCTTGATGCAAAAAAAATAGAGTAGAAAAATAAGTGAAATAGAAACGAATTTTTATACTTATGAGATTGGGTCTGGCTGGTTTCGGTGGAGCCACATCTTGTTCTCCAGATGCACCACTCCAAGACATAGCAGCCACACGACGATTTTCGCGACGCATTGTTTCGTTCGCGCTATGTTTTTCTTCCATCAAAATCTCACTACAGAATTATAGTAATATATGAGTAATACATCAATTTAATGAAATATCATAGATATTTGTCCAAAATAGTTACAAAGATTTTATATTTCAGTTATGATGCAAACGGAATATTTGAAATAAAAGTTTTACTAGAAATACGAAATTTTTAATTATGACTTATTTTGAAATAATTCTATTTATTTTAATTAAAAAGAAAGCTTAGGTTACTAACTTCAAGACTTCTTTAATATGTTTAAATGTAGGTCGTTTAGAAGGCTCATAGCTCCAGCATTGACTCATAAGGCTATAAAGTCTAGGGGGGCACAATTGTGGCAGTGCTAAACGTTCTCCATTATCTAGCTTTCCTATAACATCATTATTGCGAACTCCTTGAAATGGTTTCACTCCAAGCATTAAAATCTCCCACATACATACACCTACAAAACAAATGTTTAAAACATCAATACGATACCCATTATAAAAAAAATAACTATAATATATAGAATAAGCAAAAATTACCAAACATCCAAACATCACTGGCAGTAGTAAATCTCCTAAAATTTATTGATTCTGGCGCCATCCACTTGATAGGCAATTTTCCTCTTGAAGCTTCATAATAACTTAGAACTTCACGTGATAATCCAAAATCTGCTAACTATAAATAAAATAGTATTTAAAACTTATACCAATCAAACTATTTATTGTAAAAGGACATGACATAATATTTATACAAATTATTTTAATCAGTTTTAATATCTATAATTCTAGATACAAATAATAAGTATTATATTTGACCATTTACCTTAACACAAGTATGAGCGCTAACTAGAACATTTCGTGCAGCAATATCTCTGTGAACGAATTTTTTACTTTCCAAATAACTTAATGCTGTTGATAACTGATATGTGTATAAAAGAAGAGTGCCTAATTCCATTCTGTAAAATAATTATAAAAAGTATTAATATTATTATTTAAAATATATATAGATGAAATGATTAGTTACTTATATGCTTATTCTGTTGCAAATATGCCCTTAGTTCACCAAATTTAGCTAACTCCATAACGATCCAAATTGGAGGTTCGTCACACACTCCGATTAATTTTATGATATGCGGATGCTCGAACTTCTGCATTATATCTAACAAAAAATCAGTTGAATTATAAAATAACTATTCGAATCGGGTCTTTCGATTATTAAAAAACATACACGCTTCTTCTAGGAACTTTTCAGCTTTCTCTGGATCGTTATCAGTTTTGCAAGTCTTCACAGCTACTTCTTGAGGGCATAAAGGCAATCCTGCAATCATTTTTGGTGTACACACACCTTTATGAACATCGCCGAATTGACCCTCGCCAATTATTTCTAATAATGTTATTTGTGATCTTTCTAGTTTATAATCTTGTGCTAAAAATAAATTGTTCAAATGATTTACCTAAATATTACTTATATAATAACAATAGTAATGTTAATAATCGTCAATCTATAGTCTGATCGTAATAGGGAACAGTCCATGTACTATAAGTTAAATATGATTATAGAAACAAGAAATATAATTATAGAAACAAGACTAATAAAAGTAATTAGCAGACTAAATTTCTTGTTAATGTTTATTATCATTTATATAATATTAACGATACTCGTTTGTGAAATAGATAAATATATCAAATTATATACTTTGAAAAAAGTATATACACGTTTATACATTCACCTGATAATGGATTAGTTAATTTTGATTTTTTTTCATGAATCATTTGCAAACCTCTTTTACCAATTTTGTCTCAAATTTTGACGAAAATCAATAATAATTAACATTGATTCAGTTTTAGTTATAATCGGTCAAGCCTTAATATAATAAATAAAATTTTCATAATTGTTTCGTAGCAAGTCCTGAACCAATATCAATCATTCAAAAACCTTTCAAAACATATAGGCTTAGTATCGGTCAAGTCTACAACTCAAAAGTTAATAAAACTAAACTATGATCCGAGGCCGCCTTGATTTTGTTTAGAGGTAAAGACATTCCAAAGAAAAACGCACTGAGAAACGGATAATAAATTTCAGTATTAAATTTTCAGGTAAGTAATCCTAGTTTTTTATATAATTATATTTATGCTTAAAAAAAATTAATAAAACGAAATAAATACTTGATGGTGTAGAATAATCCCCTTCTTCATCTGGCACATCAGCATAATCTTCTGCTAACATGGGTTTGATATTATTTGTACCAGAATGAGCTGCTGCTGTGTCAGGCTGTTGCTGTTCCGCAATTTGCTGTACTTCCTCTGAAATATAAAGTAAAAATAAACATTTAGACTAATATTAATAATCGCAATTATATTTAAAAAAACATTTACCGGATTTTGTCCAAAGTGATATTTGATTTCCATTAACAAGTTGACAATAACCATCTATTAAATCCGCAATACTCTCTGCCGTCTGGTAAAAAAAGAAAAGAAAATATTGAGAAATAATTAAACTATAATTACAAAATAAAAACGAATGAAATAAATTATCAGAAAAGGTGCAAGCCAAGACATTAATTATTTCGAAAATATTGATAAAATATAACATCAATAATACAATAAGATATTTTTTTATATTTACCTCAAGTGTGTGACAAGATATTGTTAAAGGTTCTTCAGTGCCTTTCACTGTCAGTCTAATAGCAGCTTTTCCTTTGCTATCAGATTTAGTGCAATCCGGACCTATGGTTCGAATACTTTTTACCAGGGCAAAATCGGCTATTTTATTTGGTAATGCTCCACGATGTGTTATATATGAAATTTCTTAAATAAAAAATAATAAAAAACTCAATAAATTAAATATATTGATGATTTAATAATATTATAACTTACCAATATTAGGACCTATCACTAATTCTACTGGTATAGTCCAACCAGATCCTAATGCTACAATAAAATGTTCTTGATCAAATTCAAAATTTCCTCTTAAAATATCAAAGTACCTAAAATAAAAAAAAAATATTGTTGATCATATAATTGTTAGTAAACAAAAATAAAAATTTCACTACGCAACTTACTTGAGCATTGCTTCTGTTTCAGTCAAGGAAGCTACTTTTTTGTAATGCGACTGAATCATTTTGCGTAGGGTTTTTGGTTTGAAACTTTCTAATACACCTTTTGGAAAAAACTTGTGCAAACCAACCTCTCTTTCCAAATAATCTAAACTCGATTTTTTATCCAACGTAATCTAAGTAAGATAATTTGAGATTAAAAAGAAAAAAAAAAACAAAATTTATTATGTTGTTTTACCTGTGGATTATTATAAACATGTCGAATTTCCAAACAACATAACTGTACGGCAACTTCCTGATCCAAATTTGGGTGAGTGTTTTGCAAGTAATCATTTCTAACCTGCAAATACACAATTATAAATTTACTTATTATTAACTAAAATTTATAACTTTCGGTTATTATTAACTTAAACTTTCAAAACACATTGAAAAAAGAACATATTTGACTTAACTTTAGCATGGGGGTGTCCATTAATTACGTGAGCCCTGAAGGGAAGGGGGTGGTCACAAAAAATAGCAAAATATCACGCGAGGGAGGAGCGGGTCTACAAGATATCACGTGTGTTTATTTTTTACCTCAATTAGAAAAAAGATCAAATTAGAAAAAAATACGATTTTTTCTAGATACTAAAAATACGTAATGTTTGATAAGGGATGGGGGGTAATTAAAACATCACCAGGTATCACCAAGGGGAGAAGGAAAAAATTTTCTTAGAAATCACTCAGGTGATTAATGGACGTACCCCAAAGACAACTGCATAGCACATAACTTATTCGTTCGCACCATTACTAAATGAATGATACAATTACCTGATCGTAATAGTAGTGAAATGTCGCAGTATCCCGTTCAAGCATGGTTTTTAGACTAGCGGGTAGATATCGAATTCTTAATTCACATCTCCATGAACCTGGACCGGAACAACGCTCTAACACTTTAGTCATGGAATCATCATGAGACAGCCATACGACCTGAAAAACAATTATATTATTACATTATATTACATTAATTAATGTTATACATTAGAGCTTCTTTATTTATGCATTTTGAAAAATATATTTGAAATTTACCTCTCCGTCTGCTAAATTTCGAAGCCTGAGCGCGTAACATCCAGCAAACGCTCTGGTTCCTGGACGCATACCAGTCACTATCCTGGATATGATATCACGAGCATCGGTCATTTCATCAAAGCACACCATATTAAATTTGTCGTTTGGACAGTGTACTTTAATCGTAGTTCTTTTATCACTTCTCGCCCCTAAATTCGAAAGATAACATTGTTAGGAAATTATATAAAAAATATGAGACATTGATGACTGTTGTATAATTAAATAATACATAAGTAATATTTAAACATTTTTCTTAGACGAGTTTTTTCATGAAAACAATGTAAAGTAAATTGAGCGGTTACTGTCGTTAATAATTATTGAAATCCGCAATAATCCATGGGTCGAACTTACATTATATGTTTGATATACAGTGGTACCCCGACTTACGAGTTTACCTGACATACGAGTGTTTCTAGATGCGAGCCGCCAAAAGAGCGATTCGTTGCTTCGATATGCGAACAAAATTCGAAATATGAGCTTTGGGCGATTAATAGTTTTCTAGAAGAATGTTAATGGCAAAAGAAAAATATGAAAAATTTCGTCCTATCTTAGAAATATTTGAAATATTTGCTGTTTTATGATATTAAATTATTTTATAGTTAATTATTTCAATTATAAATTAATATTAATTGTGTAATAACGATTTACCCACGCGAATGTATAGAGGATTATTTTAACATTTGAAATTTTGACTATGCATAAAAGTGATAGTACAGTTATATATGTTGAGCTCACGTTTTTTGCTTTTTGTACATTTACAAAATATTACAAATACAAATTGGATGTAATACAAATTACATCCAATGTAATTTATATGGGAAGAATTGCTTCAAGATACGAGAGATTCGACATACGAGCGTGGTTATGGAACGAATTATACTAGTATATTGAGGTATTCGTATATATATACATACACATATGTTAAAGGTGTTTAAATTTGATGTTGACATGTATGATTAATGTCTTGGAAGGCGTAACATCAAGTAAAAAATGAATAAAGTAAAGATTTTTAAAACATCTTTATTTTTCCATACGTTTCGGCGTAAAATTCTACGTCATCATCTGTGGTTTTACAATTTTGGAAAAGCAGAAAAAGTAACGTTAAAAACTAAATATAAACAGAGCAAGAAAAAAAAGAACAAGATTTAACTAAAAAGACAGACTAATTATATCTAAATCTTAAATTAAAAAATTACAGAAAGCATTACATACTTGAAATTCTTAGATTATCATTTATACATATTAACAACACAACTTGTGAATAATTAATAATTGGAAACAAGCACTAAATGTCAGTGATTACGTTTTTTATAAAAAAATAATAAATAATAAAATATTATCTGAAGTAAACGCTCATCCAAGGCAAGGTTGATTTCTGCAAAAATTGTAAAATGCAAAACAGAAATTTTTGAAAAACATGTGTTTGTAATAAAAAACCGTTCAGCGATATATGCAAGTGTGTGATAGTGTTGAGTAGGGTTTGTTGGTTTTCAAAAACCGGTTTTAAAAACCGGTTTTTTGACGAAAATTATGAAATTCGAAAACCGGTTTTTTAGTAGAAAAAGTCGGTTTTTACTGTATAAGTGGAAAATGACAAATATAGCCAAATATAAAAGAGAGATGCAAGCGTTTTGATTCTTGGAATCATATTGGTTCAATAGCATTTGGAATCTTATCAGTCTGCTATGGTTCCAAGAAAGGTTTTGTGTTATCTTTTGTCTAATATTATATATTAATTTAGATTTTTATACCAGTGTATAAGAATTTAAATCAGTGTGACTTCTTCTTGAAGAAGTAGCTCCCTCTACTCAATCTTTAAAAAAATGAGTTTTTATCCCTAGAAGCCACAAATAAAAGAATAAAAAATTTAGAATTAGTATATCAGGCTTTAAAAACAATTAAGTTCGGTCGCAAGTAAGAGAGTATTTTCTATTTTGAGAAATATTATGAGTAAACAAAGGACACGTCTAAGTAACGAATTGATAGACATTCTCAATTTTTTGAAATCATGTTTTATTAAACAAAAACACAATTAAAATTTTTAAAATTAATTAATTAAAATTGCTAGGAATAGAAAATACTCGGGGTTTAGCTTAATTGTTTTCACAACTAAAATTGATAGTTACAAGTATGTATCAACATGTAAATGAATGTTTTTGTTTAATGTTTAATGCCTAATTTAATGAATGTTTTTGATTTAAAAATGTATTATTTTTATTTATTCGAATACTGTTCTTTGACTGAGATAAAAATATTTTCATTCTAATATGTGAAAATGATGCATGAATAACGAATAATTATTTTCAAAAGTATTTAATTCAGATAAACTATTAATTTTTTGCTCTACTAGTTAAACTTGAAATAATTTTGTCTACTATCCATAAAATTAAATCGCACTAAATTTGCGGATAAAAGATTTTCTATATAAAATTCGAAAACCTGGTAAAACTAAAATTCGAAAACCGGTTTTCTGAAATGTCGGTTTTTGTATAAACCCTAGTGTTGAGCATAGGTGTTAGGTATTCGATACAAATTGGGAAACATTATTTAAAACATATTGGTAATTTTCGCAGAGGAAGCTGTATCAGTTCGTTTATTAATACTATGTTTGTCCAAAAAATAAAAGCCGATTTCGCAAAGCGTCTTTGTGAGACTTTCGACTCATGATGAAAAACCTTTGCATCATACAAATTTAACTTATGGTTGTTTAGTTTTAAATGTTTTGTGATCATCGTTTGTCCTTGATTTTGGCCACAAAAAGTGAGCCTATTGTTTGTGACGGATTTTATAAGATGTGGGAAATAGGAGTTGTGCGTGAGGGATATACACACACACACACGCACATATATATATATATATATATATATATATATATATATTTATTTATTTATATATGCGTGTGTGTGTGTTTGTGTATGTAATTAAATAATATCGTAGCACAAGAATCAGCACTTACCGTTGCGAGCGGGCGAGCCGTGGGGCGTCGATTTGGCTGAATCGGATGCCATGGTTTTATTACAGCGCGATTTTTCTGCAGAAATGGCTTCCGCATGAACTATCGTTTTGCTGATAGTTCGTTTGTCGTGGGCGCGATCTTTTGCGGGTGAGATCAGACCTGCCCTTCCGAAACAGGCGGACCCCTTGCCATCATTGACATAACTGAAATTAAAAATAATCGAACTACATTAATTTATCATAATTAGAAAAATCTAACATAACTATAAGTTGATCAGTATTAACCAAATAAACTCATAATTGATCCAGCAAATGAATAAGTTTATAATTAATTTAAATTAATATATTCATGCTGAATAGGGGCAGTTTATGTTTTCAATATTATCAATAACATTTTACAAAGTTTTGTATCATTAACTCTTGTTACTGGAGAACAAATAAAATAACAACATGTAAATATAAAATAAACTAGTTGATATTGGTATTTTGCCTTGAGGCAAGTTACATGAACTTAATCACATATCGGGGGTGAATAATCGACTTAATCAATATAAAATAAATTAATTTATGAGTTATTAAAAGTATTCCGAGTAAATTTATTACACATAATTAAAAACGAATGAACACGTTAACTCGGAGTATTTTCTAAAAGCAAATTTTCACAAGTAAATAATTTTTATAAATGAATTTTAGTATGTTCATTAAGACCAAGTACTCTATCGTTATACCAAGTAAATCGTCTAATTTTAATTTTAACAAAAACTATTTATTTTCTCAAACTTTGATGAATTTTTAAAATTAAACTACTTGTCGTAAGACCGTAATATTTTAGTAAGTTCTATAAGACCATGATATATATCGCCAAAAAAGTTTCATAAAAATCGTTTTAAATTTGTTTCAATAGTTAATTACAAGAAAAGGGCTGGTTAGATTTTCACCTAAAATTAATCAGTATCATTCCCAACTAAAATCTATCAAACAGTTTTTGATTTTTTAAAATCGATTCGGTAGTATGAGCTTGAATGTGAACGAAAAGTTCAACACTCTTTTCCATATTACAAAGAAACGGCTCGGCCGATCGTCGCACAAAACTGACAAACAATAGTCCTCATTGAGATACATCAAATGGCTATTAAATTTCTGAAATCGGATCAGGCGTTTTTGAGAAAACGTCGATGAAACGTCTAATTTTGACAAATGCCAAAAAAACAATACCAATTTATGCAAACTTTGACGAACTTTTAAAGCTAAACGAGTTGTCGTAGAGCCGTAATATTTTAGTATGATCTAGACTAGATGACTATGGTACCTACCGTTAAAAAAATAATAAGAAAAATCGCCGAAAAAAAAATTTAACACTATTACAAGAAAACGGCCCGGCCGGTCTCTACCAAAAATTAATCTGCACGATTCCAAACCAATATCTTTCGAACGGTTTTTGAATTTTCAGAATCGATTCAGAATTACGGGCTAAAACGTGGACGAAAATTTTTTCACTTTTCTGCTAATTATAAAGAAATGGCTTGACCGATTGTCGCACAAAACTGACAAACAATATTCCTCATCGAGATACATCGAATGGCTTTTAAATTTTTGAAATAGGTCCAGCCGTTTTTGAGAAAACGTCGATTTACGGCAAAAAATCTGTTCATACACACGCACACACACACACATACTTTTTCCGGGCGGTATTGAGTCCGACATACCAGTCTCGGATGCATAAAGGCATTTCCTTCAATATACAAAAAAAACACATACTTTTTTCAAATTTGGTCTCATTCGATTCAGGATGGCTTGAAACGTCGAGAAAACATAAAGTTAGCAAATCGGATTTTTTGATGAAAACATAAATTTTTCCTTCGGGAAGTTAATATAACTAATATAAATAATACAATAAATCCTGAATATTGACCAAATTAATGCAAAACTCTTTTTAATAAATGTGAATCATTTTAGTATGAACATTTCAACTCTTATTTCAAACTATAAAATTAAATAAATAATTCAAATATGATAACAGGAAAGATAAAGAAACACAAGCTACGGAACGTTTAATTATTAATAATATTCGCGAGCATCGGAAAGAGTATAGTCGTCGATTGCCCGAACAGGATGTATACGGTAATGAATATAAGCAAAAGAAATGATTGATAAAACCATATTGCACTCTTCTATGCGCCTTCAAATGATATTGAATAAATAAGTGAATTTAACAACTAAAAATTATATTGTCTCAAAATAATTACATCGACAACATCAGCGATAACAGGTACCATATAATAATACATGAGTTTGTGTATACTAAATGTTTTCATTACTTTATATATGGGAGACTAGGTACCCTTGTGCTGGGGTACTGCCGTCGTCATAACAGCTAGACTATTCCGATTTTGAGATAGGGTCCAAAGAGAGAAATGAATAAATCTTTAGTTCTATATTATAGAAGTCTAGTAAAATTTAAATAAAATTTAAATACTGAAAAATATTATATTACTGAAAAATATTATAATAGCGAACAATTAAATGCTAAGATTCCATTCAAATTCTGGACTTTATGATACTTAATATCAATTCTTCTGAGCAAATTAAAAAATAGATTTTTTTAAATAACATGAATAAAATGAATAGACGTGCATTAAAACTCAAAATTACAGCTTTAAAATAATTGATTTTGAATAATATTTTTTCACAAACGACAGATTTTATAAGAATAGAAAATTATATGCGATGTTAATATCTTTCAAAATTCAAATGCAGAAACAAATATTTGCATACATATAGTTTTAACTCATTCTGAATATCTAGAAAAATCAAGTATATATATATATATATAATATTATCAACTTATCCTTTCGAACAAAAATTTTGATTGTTATAAATTGAAGTATGATTGTTCGAACAAGTTTCCATTATCGCTTTTAGTCAGAACCTACATTAACATGATCTGTAGACTGCATTTTTTGAAAAAGTCAAAAGTAAGTTTTTTTGTTCGATTTCTGTTAATAATAAAAACTGTTAATTGAATACAGATAGATCACTTTGCTTATTGTTTTACTGTAAGTTGAACATTAGTAATTATTTACCAGCGATTAGTTTTTACTTAGATAATTTAGGTAAATTAAAAGTGACATAACCTTATCATTCTCCCTGTACTATCTATAAAAAGTCAAATAATTATTTTGTGGTTAAGTATACCTACTTATTATATTTTATTATTATAGTATTAAATTTATGTAATTATATAATTACTGCATTCTAAATTTAAAGTTTATTAATATTTGTATATTTTGATTATAGATGGGCAAACGCATAAACTTGTAGATCATAAAAAGATTGAATAAGTTTGCAACATTGCCGGCTTTGATTTTGTTTCCTCATTCGGATCAGTAAATTGAGATAAATCGCTAACAATTTTAAAATTTAGAATTTAGAAATAAAATTTATTTCGAACTATTATTTTTATAACATTGTTAAAGTCTTCACATAATTAGTGTTTGTTTGATGATTAGTTGTATGAAATGCAAAATTTTAATTCTGCTCAAATATATTTTATATCAAAATTTATATGTTCTAGTACAACTTTAACAACTATAATTGGGCTATATAATTATAAAATAGGTACAAAATCATTGTATTAATAAAATTATGATTTTGCATACTGAGATCGTGAAAATGATGACTCTACTAAGTACTTATTAGTCTGCACTTGAAAAGCTCATTTTACCGGAGCATTCGAATAATATTTATTTAGTTTTAATTTAGTTGAACATTATTTTCTGGTAATTGTCAAGCAATTATATATTACTTCATAGTTCAAAAACACATTTAACACAAAAATCTGGTACTTAAATTATATTAATAATTCTATTCAACCAAATATCAGTTTTTGTTAGTGGTTGTTTAATTTTATTAGTAATTCTTTATTTAACGCAAAGCAAACAAAAGCTAGTTTACGCAATATTATTGTCGCCGTATAAATAAAGACACAAAGATCATTATAAGGAAAAGATTCACATAATAGCACGACTAAATCAGGCACAAAGTCGTTAGCCATGAATTTGATGAGCATTGTACACTCTATTAGAAGTTTATTAACTATTCATCTCTTAACCATATCTTACATGAAAATATATTGTACATATATATATATAAAATATATATATATATATATATATATATATATACATATATATATCTTAGTTTGATCACTAGAATCCGAAAATCATACGTGGCTATGTGACTATATATATATATATTATATATATATATATATATATATATATACAGTAGAATCCGCTTAGTGTGACATCGAAGGGACGCCGAAATCTCGTCATACTAACCGGTCGTCATTAAAAGCGTACTGAAGAAAAACTTTTTAATATGCAAATATGTTACATGTTTCAGTAATTTAAAAGAAAAGCCTATACAAATGTTTTAATTAAAAATAAAAATGACACATTAAAATTTAATATAAAATAAAATTGACATAGGATAGGGCGGGGGCACAACGGTCCAATTTGACTTACGGTAATTATACTGTCTAAACCCAATGAACAACACATAACATACATCAAAGAAGCATCTATCGAACTATGTTCAGAAAAACTTACATACATACGTACATAATTCCTAATTATATAAATATTATATTGTTTACTATTTTTTAAACATTTGGTATCTGACCCATTTTACTTCACATACTGGGTAAAGTGGAACAACCAGGGGGCGAACAGATGCAATTTCTTTTATTAAATTTTAAAGGCATTTTATGCTACATTATTGAACCAATGCAAAATCTTAATTCTGTGGGTACATTTGTTACAAAGACAACACAGTATATTACATTGATTTGCTATTGGTCAGAAATATTCATCAGAAGAGCCGGAATAACAATTTATTCAATTAATCTCTTGTAAAATTGCTTTTTTTAAACTTTACTATTTTATTGCTTACACCTTTGCCAAAATAAAGGTTCAGCTGGTCCTTTTTATCGTAGTTATGTGTCGCTTATCTTCTGATAGCAAAGTCATAAGAATTAAGGTGATGGCTGGTTATGAATTTATACATTTTTCGCCCTCTACTATCAAATATAATTGTTAAAAAAATCTAATTTTATTTGTTTATGAAATATCCGTGGTGAGCCATTAATAATTAGTCTACCCTACCCATAAAACATACAAATGTGTTTTTTAATGTAAGTAATC